TGTGGCACGTGAAGGCATTTTGCTTGGCATGCACACCTCGGGGCAAGGGCCAGGGCTGTGCTACCACAACAAGGACTGGACCCCTTGCAGCTCTTCTGCTGTCTGCCGCTGGCATGCCAACATCTTACAAGTCAAGGTTGTGGGTGTTTTTGGCACTCTGCCCAAAAACATTGCCAACCCCTGCATTAAAGGTATAAAAGCATGCCAAAAGGAAAGCAGAGCTACTGAGGTCCCTTCCACTTCCAACCCTACTTTCCTGTGATCCCAAACTGAAAGAAGGATAGAAAATATAACAAGGAATCTTCTTCAGTAAGTCATGTGCTTTTTAATTACTTTAAACTTAAAATAGACCCTTGGCCATGTTATTAAGGATTATTATACGAGTATAGCATGGATATGTATAAACAATATCAGAAAGGCCAAGGCACAAATTGAGTTACACCTAACAAGGGGTAAGAAAGGCAACAAAAAAGCTTTTTATAAATTAATTAGAAGTATGGAGAAAACCAAGGCAACTGTATGTCCCTTGTTGCATGTGGAGAGGAAGCTAGTAGTGCATGATGTGGTGAAGGTTGAAATGTTCAATGTCTCTTTTAATTCATTACAAAATGTCAACTATCAGATAACGTACAGAGTTCCCTTCAAGGACAAGGGGTAGACATTCAGTACAGAGTAAGGAACGAACAAGTTAGATAAGTTACGTGTTTTCAGGTCATAAGGGCCTAATGAGATTCATTTTAGCTGCTGAGACACTGGCAAAGAACTCATGAGATCAAGTGAAGCCCCAAAAGACTGAAAAGGGTAAATATAGTGCTTGTCTTTAAAAATGGGAAAAAGATGGACCTTGAGAATTACGAACAAGTCAGTCTAACTTCAGTACTCAGAAGGAAATTGAGCATATAAAATAATAATTTTATAAGCACCAGGAGGAAAACAAAGAAAAGCCAACATGGATTCAGCAAGAACAAGTCACACCACTTAACCAGCCTGGATTCCTTCTATAACAAGGTGATACGAATTATGGGCAGGAAGAGAGCAATAGATGCAAAACACCTCAACTTCAGAAAGGCTTTTAACAGTTATGACATTCTTGTAAGCAAGCTAAGGAAATATAAACTAGATGACACTACTCTGAAGTCACATTACTGGTGGATAACCAGGCTCAGAAAGAGTGTTATCAACTGCTCAATGTCTAACTGGAAAGATGTATTAACTGGAGCTTCCCAAGTATCTGTCCCAGGTCCAGTACTGTCCAATACCTTCATTAAGGACTTAGAGCACGGAATTGAGTATGCACTTAATATGCTCGGGGAAGATACAAAGCAGACACTTCAGAGGACAGGGTTATGATTTAAAATTACCTTGATAAACTGGAAAAAACGGGCTGGAACAAAAAAGATTTAATTCAGTAACAGCAAGTGCAAAAAATGCTACATTTATAAAGAGACAATTCAAATCCATAAATATAAAGCAAAGACATGACCAGTTAGCATATTAAAATGAATGGTATATGCATGTTATGGGAAGTGATTCTTCCAATCTAATCAGGATTGGGAAAGGCCTCCCCGGAAGGACTGTGTCCAGTTTCAGGCACAGTGCCTCAAGAAAGATGAGTGAAAACTGGAAAAAAGTCCACAAGAGAGCAACAAAAACTGTTCTAGAAAACATGAGATAAGGAAAGATTGGAAGAATTGGAACTAATTAGCCCAGAAAAGAGAAGACTAAGGGAGATTTGATAAGCATCATCAAATACATGAAGAGTTCTTATCAAGACAACGGTAATCAATTGTTCTCTGTGTCCACTGGAAGCAAGATGAGGACTAATGGGCTTAAATTGCAACAAAAAAGATTTAAGTTAGATATTAGAAAGAAATGTCTAAATATGTGGGTTGTTAAGCACTGGAACAGATTACTTAGAAAAGATGTGAAATCTCTGTTACTGGAAGTTTTTAGGTGCAAGTTAGATGAACATTTGTCTGGAATGTTTTAGACAGGAATCAACCTGCCTTGAGCAGGGGCATTGGGACTAAATTGACTCCTGAGATCCCTTCCAACCCTATTTTGTCCATAAAATATATAATTCTAATGAAAAGATTCAACTTCCAGCACTGCTAAGCATCTAGAGCTCTATTTTTTTAATTTTAAAAAGACAGTGTTAAGTTTCTTTCCCTTAGGAGTTTTGCTAATCATCTTCTGGGTACAGCCATCCAGTTCTGAGTCTACAAAATCCTGGAGTAGAACCCCAGAGTTATAACTGCCCCATTCTTCTATAATCTTAAGTCTGGAATCTAGTGTCAAAGGACCACATGCTATTTTATGGCTGATTAATTTAAGAAAAAAGATCCAGCTAATTTGCTTTTTCTCATGTGGTTTCTCTCATTGACAGAAAGAAGGGGTGGTATGGGCAGTCTCTGTGTAATACATGACAGAACAGGGAGCAGGAAGGTAGCACAGCAGAAGATAGGGTAGGAAACGGAAAGCAGAGCAGAAGATCAGGCAGAGGAAAGGGACTAGAGTGGAACTTGGTGAGGGTGCAAAGCTAATTTGTGGCAACCCTGCCAAAAAGGTTGGCCCTCACTGACTTAAAGGGTATGCTGATCTGGGAATTCAGAGTCACAGAGAAGTAGGGCTGGAAGGGACCTCCACAGGTTATCTAATCCAACCCCATGCTTTAGGCAGGATCAGTAAGCAGTTTCTCTGCTATTTGAAAAGAGATACTATTCCTGTAACTTCTGCTAAATGCTAAATCCAAAATAGTTTGTATTTAGAGACAGAAAGTAACAATAGGCTGGAGAGCTGTCTTGACAGTGAGATTAAGCAGCTCTTCCTTTGATTTAGAGAACATATTTCTTCCTGCTTTGATGTTTAAACCAGATAATTCCTTCCTGGGGGATGAATTACCCCCTCCATTTTGAATCATTCTGTTTTGCAAGGACTGAGTCCCAGTGAAATGAATAAAGCAGCTCCTGCATGAGGCACAAACATATCAAAGAAATCAAGCCCCAAAACCAAAGCAAGGCTGACTTTCAAATCAACAACAAACCCCAGGAAATCCTTACCAGAAAAATTACAACATTAGTTCTAATTTGTCATTATCCCTTATTCAAATCCCATTTATCACATTTTCTCTCACATCCTCATGTCCCTCCTTGTCTTACTTCACACATGGCTGCACACACTGTAAGAGATGAAAAGGTTCACAAGTCCCCAGACTTTTGCTCTGCACCTTGTGTAGTCAATTATATCAGTGAAATGCTGATATTTTATACCCACTTAGTTCTGGTATGAAGCCTGCAAAAACCACAGCGCAAGAGGAAATTGGGCCTATTAAGGAGGAAATACAAGGGGAAGACTAAAAAAGTGCAAAAACTTGCATTTCCTCCTGTGGCAGAATAAAGAGGTGGTAAAACTAGGCTCATAACATAAAATAGGGCTGAAAAAGGAAGTTTACAATGGCATGTGCTCATTCTTCTGTGCCTGCTCTTGCAAGCTCTGCATTTCCTATTTATGTACCTGATTTGCTAGTTTCATCTGCCGCAGTTTCACACTTTCATCTTCAAAGACACTGTGAAAAACAAAGACAAAAATTATTGCTTGTTCAGTTTATTTGCATAATACTGTAATTGTACATGAAGCTTTGTAGAGCATGACAAAGTTCCCAACTCAAATTATAATCTCACCACTAACCCACAAGCCGTGGAAGACTCAGAAGACCCCAGATGCACTTCAACAGCACAGCATAGACAGGACTGACCCACGATTTAACCATGTCCCTGGGCTGGAAATATTTTGTAAGTAAGAAAACATTGAACGGAGAAGAGCAAAATGGACTGTTTGAGGCTCTGAAACAGCAAACTGATTTAACATGTCTTTACAACAATGGTCCTGTGTTCACTATGGTCATAGTTCCTGACAAATACCTTGATCCAACCAAACTCCAAACCATTTCAGCATTCTGACCTCCCTAGCTTCTCAAAACTCTATACTTGCTCTCTCCTCTTGGTGGACTGGAGGGCAGTTACATGCTATGAATTTCAAGTGATGCATATAAACTGATGATTTTATACTTAAACAATTTATAGGATGCTTTTTAACCAACCGGTTTCTAGGTCCTAAGTTATGGCATACATAAAGAGCCTATTACCCTTTGCATGGTAATCATGTATTCCCTAAATAAGTGTTATATATATTATATAAATGATGTGTAAGACTGGTTAACCCAAGAACGGGAAAATGTTAAGTGAAAGTAAGCATCATTTCTGAATATGAAAGTATTAGAGGAGGCTGTACAATTAAAATTTTGAAAAAGTTGTGGCCAGATGATATAAAGTATTTACATCAGAGAAAGAGAATGCTTACAGAGTTAACACACTCATATTTATGTACATTTATGTGGGTAAAGAGATGATTTGAGCTAACCAAAGTTGCTTTTTAAACAGGAAAATCTCTGTCTGGTCAAAGGCATGCAAGACTGGGCAATGATGTCATGCCACATGTTAACTGAGCTTCCATAGTGAAGTAACAAGCCAGAAGATGAAAGGGTTTTGATTTCAAAATGACTACTTTGTCCACTGTGATACCTTTCTGGGACACTGAACCTTTGCATCACCTTGGGGTTCAGGATTGGACTATTAGAACTTCTTTCTAATGCATCATAGCTAATAGTTTAATATTCTGAAATATAAACTTCTTGCCCATCTAGCGAGATTTTTAATAAGGCAATCTGAGTTCTCTCTGCCTGTTTTTTATTTTGTGATTTCCCCCCCTCTTTGCAAATTAAATGAGAAATATTTTCACTTAAGTCTAGGAGACTGAACTGAGAAGCTTCAGATAGACACCAAACTCTGACCGGACTGGCTGCAGAGTCAAAGGCGAGAAGTAGCTTGAGCACAAAGTCAAGGGCAAGGAAAAGTTGATCTCTCCTCTGAAATGTGATGTGGAAGACTATTAAAAAAGCAAAAACTGTGTAACATCTGCTAAGTGCAGTGTATGTAATAGCTTCTACATGGTACTCAAATGTGTGATGAAGGCATGAACTCCTTGCATAATGAAAAAGCTGGTGATGGAAAAGGTTACCCCTCGCTCCATCAGAAAACCAAGTTGAAGAGCCCTGAGTAAAATGCTCAGAGGAAACAGGTGAATACAGCAACAACACTAACATCCTCTATTTGCATACTGACTATAAAGTAATAAACAGCATTTTTGAACTGTTGACCAGAGTTAGATATAAAACAATCCACTGAACATGTAGCAGTATTAGATCATCAGATAATGATCAATTTCCCAGTTTTCCCACTCTGTATTTCTCCAATGTTGCCTAATTAATATTTAAAATTTGCACACTCTGGATACAAGCTAACATTGTAGACACTTCCACAGCTGTGATGAAAAAAAAGGCTCTAAGGTTTTTCTAAATAATTTTTCCTAGCCTTTTTTAATGCTGGAAATGTTAGGTGACTATTTCTTGTTAGCTGGACGGCAGGCAGTATTTGAAAGATCTCTGAAATGCAGGTATCATTCAATTAAATCAATTACGATTAATGATAATTAAAATTCAAGATACTTTAATTATGTCCCACCAAAGGGGAATAAAAGTATGCTAACTGAAAAATTTAAAGCAGACACTCTTACAGCAGCAGGACCACTACTGACAAGACCTTACTTTCAACACTTCTCATCACTTAAAGGCTGGGAACAGTAGAAGATTTAGTCTACGGTGATTCTCCAATCCAGTCCTCTAAGTACCTTCCAAGTCCTTCAGCAGTAAAAGGAAAGTCAGGAGTTACGTAAAAGTCAAGCCAAAAAGTGTATGTGCAAGTAGGTGGGGATTGTTTTTGGGAGCAAAAAGAATAAGCAAAAGAACCCAAATTTTAGATCTTTTTTATTGTATAAAATACATGAACAATTTTGTTCCCTCATAATTTACTTTTAAAGCAGATTAAAGTAGCTATGTGAACAGGATTTTAAATGAAGAAGCGCAGCAAACCTCTCTCCCTTGGAGAATACGAGGAGATACCAGTTTGCTGGGGTACAGACAGGGAAGAGTGATCAAAGCCATGAGCATTTGTTCTCTAAATGTTAGAGAAAAAATGTGACAGTATTTTCACTTACCACACACCCCTTGACCCTTCCCCACTCCTTGGCTTCCTAAAGTGCAACATAACGGGCAGGAAAGCAAAGCTCCTTCCCCTTCTAAAGTTAACTTTCTCTCTTTAGTAGTTCAAATGGAAATGCTGTTACTCATCTCCTTTGCCAGGAAAAGGCACTCCCACTGTATCATCATCACCAGTAAGGAATGTGAGCTAGCAGTGGGCTAATACAGCCTCTGGCTCAGCTGGCTTCAGACAACTCCACAGAAACAGCACTTTCAAATGCTTCTCTAACATGCTTGTGCAAGAGCACATTAAACCCTGCCAGCAGCAAAAGCAATTACACATCCACTGCAAAGGAGGGAAAACAAAATCTGCATGAGTACAAGAACATGGTCAAGAAAAGAATCCCTGAATTGATTCCCAGTAAATGTGAAATTAATATTTTCAGAGCAGCCTTTCAGCAACTGCCTTTCTTTTTCTACATCTCCACAGACCACACACAAAATTCACCATCCCACTCCAACAATTGCCCCAGCTATTGTGCCAGACTTGCACAACAGGTGACATGATTCTGTAAACTGGAATACAATTCCTCAAACCCCAACTGCACAACCGCCACCAGCCAGTTGGGAAAGGGAGGCATGTTTAGCTGGGGAGCAGGAAGTTCACTCCTCCTCATTTGCGCCCCATATGCATGTGGAAGTGGCATCTGCTGAGCCAGGAGCTCCCCGCTCCCCAGGTACTGCTTCCATGGGCACCTGAGAAGGTAAAAAGGCAGGCACGCAGCTTTGTGGTTGCTTTGCCATTTTATGGCACCATAAATTTGATAAGCATGTGGCAGGCTGCTATTTCTGGCACAATTAACATATTAATTGTGCCCAAAATAGAACGTGTCACAGGAACCTTGGCCTAGAAATCTCAACTGGAATTTACTTTTCACTTTGGTACAGCAGGCCTGTGAAGAGGTACAATCAATTACCTCTGAAGTTTTTGTCTGTTTGTGCATGCTTTCATAGGAAGACAGAAAGGGATTGTGTATCAGTATATTCTTATGAAGGCTTTACACTGTATATTGAAAAAAATGCACTTATTTTGAATTTGAGAATGTATTCACTTTGTTCTAGGGCAGGGGTGGGCAATATTTTCTGGCAGAAGGCTGGAATGACTCAGCTTGGGTCAGAGATAGAGTACTAGGGCCTGGTCATTTGCTGCTGCTTCTCCTTGCAGCCCAGCTATGGCATGGCACAACACAATGCAGTGAAAGCACCCCTCCACCAAAGCCCATGCCACCGTAGTACAATACAGTGTAGGGAGAATCTCCTGCCGCCAAAAGCTGCCAAAGTAATGGCTCCGAGGGCTGGATCCAAAGGCTCTGCGAGCCAGATATAGTTTGCGGGCCATAGGTTGCCAACCTATAGTCTGCAACCTAGGGTACTTCAAAGCAATGCCTGAAAGATGTCTTTTCATCTCTAATTCTGAAAATAAAACTTCATAACAGAATCTGGATGTTCCTTGATTCAGTAACCATCCAGTGCATCCAAGTGATATCTGAAAATAAGTGCGATAGATGTTCAACCTGATCAATAATGTTTCAGCCTTTGTGTAAATATGAAAAATCTTCATAGTTAGAGAGGGAAGCAACTTATATTGGATCACCCACTCCCTCTTGAGGCCAATAAACAGGTGGAGCAGCTTCTGATAGGAAAAGCCATGTGCTGAAAGAGAACTTTGCACCAGTTTTCTCTTTAGGAAGATGTCTTCCTGTGGCCTCAACGCCTTTCAACGGCAGGAAGGACAAATAATATGTAACTCGTAGATTTTATTAAGTTTATCTTCCAAAATTCAGACAACGACAGCATGTACATTGCGATGGTCTGAGAAAGGCCTCTCTTCCATTGTTCTTAAGTGGGTTCCTTATTCTGGTCATGTCTAAAACTGATGGATTTATGAATGTGTTTGCATGCATGTTCTATGAATATAGTCAAAAGAAGTGAAGTGGGCATATTCCCTTCAGGGTGTTCCACAGTGCATGAATAGTACTGTTCGGTTCAGCATTTCTTAACCCATGGGTACTGACCCAAAAGTGGTTTGCAAGAATATAAAAGGGTGTGAACAAACTTTGAAAATGGATCAACAAATTTTCGAACTAGATTCTCCTTTAAAGAAGAAAAACATAGGAAACTGTGGCTTTTCCCTTACAGGCTGTCAGAGTTCCAGCCTGTGAGGGGCTGTTTGGGGCCTGCCGTGTACCCCCCACACCCTCCCCTTTGCTCCACACGCTGGGGTGCTGGGGCCTGGGGGCACAGCAGGTCGAGAGTGAGGGGCACTGGGTCAGAAATGGCCATCAACGTTTACAAATAGGTCCTGGTACAAAAAACATTAAGAACCACTGGTTTGGTTCACTTGCAGAGCTGCTTGGGAACAGGGACACCTCTCCAATGTACCATATTTTCTTGCACATAACCTGTACCTT